GCATCCCCCTTTGGGAGCTGTCCCTTATCAAAGGAACCTTAAATCAGCCTGCATGAATAGTTTCTTTGTGGCTGCACCACAGAGATGAACAGAGAAATGGGGCCTCATTTGGGAAAGCTCAGAACACTTAATTCTTTCTTATTAATAAGCCTCGCCGCTACACAAGTAACAGGAATACATAAAGTACAGTATGTTCCGAATAGGTAATTTGAAGTTGCTGATGGTTTTCTCCTGATGTCTTTGGCAGATAGTGGACAATGTAAATCTGGATCTGTCGGATGACGAGGAACTAAGGGAGCAGCTGGATATGCACTCTATTATTGTGTCCTGCATAAATGATGAACCACTCTTCACTGCAGAACAGGTACCTGTTCAGCTTTCACTTAGACGCCACCATTTTAATACCTTTCAGTTAAATGTTTGTGTTATTGACTGTTTTTTTTGTCAATTAATGGTTATTTTATGTGAAATACAAGTATGTTTGTCCCTTCCTAAACAAGCTCAATTCAGAAAAATAAACTCATAAGCACAATTTAATGAGAATTAAATTATTCACATTATCTCATAACATTTTAGGTTTTTGTGTTAGGTCACAATTTTTTTAATTTGTATTCCAACTTTACTCCACAAAGATGTTTCTGCAACTTCCTTAAGATGATCTTTTTGCGAATGTGTTAATGGTTAATTAATGGCAGGATAAATGTTTTTTTAATGTCTATTTTTTTTTGCCGTGGTTAATGGCCTTACTTTCTTGGTTTCACTAATGCCGGAATCATTTGCAGTGTGTTTTTGACCCACAATACACAGAATAATAAATAGGTTAACAAAAATAACACTGAAATCACTAGATGAAGATGATATAAACACAAAGAATGGGAAGACATGATACAAGGGTTCTATTGATAAGAACCAATATATTACTACATTAGAACAAGTAATAGGTTTATTCCATGCTGAAAAAAAGAAGAGAGAAAAAAACACAACGTTTTGGCCGTGGAGAGACACAACGTTTCTTCAGGTGTGAGAGAGACAAGGCAGTAGGCAAAGGTAATGTAGTGGGAGAACAAAGGCTGGGAGGGAGGAGGGGTTAGAGGCGGGAGAAGGGGACAGAAAGAGAGGCCAATCAAGAGGTGTGAAGTCAGGATAGATGTAGAAAGGTGTGAAATGAAACTTCCAATGAATGGAGAAAGTTTAGTAGAATAGTAATCTGTCGTTAAGAGAAGGGGGAAGGTGTGATCCTATCTGCAGGATAAGTTTGGTTTAGGTAGTCTTTCTGATATATGAGTTGGGAAAAATAACTCTTCTTTAATTATCATTATCATTATCTTGTTTAAATGCAGTAAATAATTGTGTTTTTCTGTGTTACCTTATTTAAGCACAATATTAACTAATTTATATATTGTCTTGTTTTGATGGAATGGAACACCATCAGCAAAAAGTTGTTTTTATTTTACCTGTAGTATTTGGTGCTCTAAGTCCAATACATTCTATATCATTTCTTTTGGTTTGACTTGCAGTTCTGAACTAGACAGGGATCTGACCATTGAGGAATGTTGTAAAGGATCCTTAATATAGTTGCTGTCGTTTTGAAACAAATTTCAGTGTCTATTTGTGAAGTTTTCCTCTTTGTTTAAATGACTTAGTCAATGTTATTTGAAAATCTGTAGGAGCGCAGAGTTTGGTCAACTACACAAGTCCTTATGAAGTGCTTATATTAATTTGTCAGAATAGATCAACTGAATAGATTAGAATAGATCAATAGATCACTGAAGCTAAGCGGGTGGAGACCTCCCGGGAAAAACTAAGGTTGCTGCTGGAAGAGGTGTTAATGGGGTCAGCAGGGGGCGCTCACCCTGCGGTCCATGTGGGTTCTAATGCCTCAGTATAGTGATGATGAGGATACTATACTATGCTGTCCTTCGGATGAGACATAAAACCGAGGTCCTGACTCTCCGTGGTCATTAAAAATCCCAGGGCGTTTCTTGAAAAGAGTAGGGGTGTAACCCTGGCGTCCTGGCCAAACTTCCCATTGGCCCTTACCAGTCATGGCCTCCTAATAATCCCCCTCTATGAACTGGCTACATTACTCTGCTCTCCTCCCTGCTGATAGCTTTTGTGTGGTGAGCGTTCTGGCGCACTATGGCTGCCGTTGCATCATCCGGGTGGATGCTGCACATTGGTGGTGGAGGGGAGTCCCCATTACCTGTAAAGCACTTTGAGTGGAGTGTCCAGAAAAGCGCTATATAAGTGTAAGCAATTATTATTATTAACTGTGCATTAATGACTGAGAGACTGGAATTTTATTACCTGACACTAGCATTACATGGCCTGTTTATTCTTTGTGTATAAAAATAGTCATCAGGAGTTCTATACATCAGTAACAGATATCAGAGTTTTTAAGGGGACAGCAATTGTAGTACAATTATGATTTCAAATACCTTCAATAAGTGTAGGCCATGCTATGGGATTTTGGTCTGATCCAAGTTATGTATGTTTTATTTCAGCTAAAGCCCTACAGGAAATATGATCAGTTTAGTCTTCTTTTTCATAGTAATGAGCATGAACTAAAGGCTAAATTGGTTTGGTTTCTGTGTTTGATTTAAAGAACAGGATTTTTTTTTAAGTGCACTGCTACCCTTTGAAAATAATGCTTATTGCAAGTATTGGTTCAGCCTTGCCCTAGGCATTGAGTTAAAAAAAACTGACAATCTACTGTATTTGAAACTACAAGGTGCTTGTGAACAGCAAGCACTGAGTGCTGTATGAGATTCTAGAGAATATAACCTTTGCTAAGGATTCACTTGAAAATAAAAAAAGAAGGAAACATTCTAGAATGTGTTGTGGGAAAGCCCTTCAGGTAATTCAAGTTTCTGGTCTTTTCTTGATTTTATTATTCTTCCAAGCATTGCAGAGAACCCCTTTGTATTTTAGTTTGATGTTTTTGTGCAGGCACAAATTGGAGATTGTGCAAAAGTTATATCCATCTATACATAGTAGGCCGGGTGGATATAGTTGATTCAGTGAGGTGTTTTTTGATGTATTTGGTACTGTACTTTCATTTTCTTTCTAAACTTTTCTTTCAACACATTAACATATTGAATGACCACAAGTATTCATCATAATGACTATTTAGTTACTGAAGGTATTGAGGCCCGCTTCTGTGTTCATTACATAATAAATACATTGGTTTAACCTGAGTGGTTACAGGCACAATAACAATCAATATACTGGTTACAAAACCATTCAAAATATAGGGTTCGGCTCATAACTTATGATGCATTTGTTTCAGTGAGGGGACAACGCTTTTCAGATTTTGTCAGCAGTTAATAATGGAAATTGTCTATTATTCATCAGAAACCACATAGATCTCTTCAGGAACCAGAAGGGCTCCAGGTCAGATTCTGCATGAGCTCTTAAATATTAATATGAACTAATTATTTACTTCACTTTGCTAAATCAAACCTTTTTTTTTTTGAAGAGGTGAACAGTATAAGATTTCTAAAATCTGGTCGACTGCGATCCACAAGGCCATACTGCTAGATCTATGAAGGAAGACGTGGTTAATTTTACCACATTTTTTCTGCCATGTCATCCAAAAAGAACACTTCTTTTTAAAAAATAACTTAATATTAAGATTATTCCCATTAAATGGCTTTACAAAGTGCTTATTTTGGGCAGCTTTCTTAATTTTTCTTGATAAAAAAGTGATAAAGTAATGAGCAAAATCTGTTCTTAGTCAGAAGAACACAGTGTGAGATAATTAGCCAAATGTGATTCCTTATGTGTCAATTAATTGATTGAATGCATCAACATTAAACAGATAATTTACTATCTTCTCATATTTGTGTCTATTTTAATAATTGCATTATTTTTTATATGAGAAATATGGAAAATGGTCTTACTTGTTAGAAACTCCAAATGATTGATGGTCATTTTTCCTTTAATCCTGCCAGTTCTGGTGTATTGCAAGAAAACAAGGTTGTATTTCCTCCTGGGAATGTTTTCAGTGTATGCTCATCCTGTTCCCTTCTATTCCAGTTTCCTGTCTTTTCTAAGGCTCTTGCAGCTTTAAGAAACAAGTAATAGGTTTATTCCATGCTGAAAAGAGAAGAAAGAAAACACAATGTTTCAGCGGTGGAGCCTTCTTCAGGTGTGAATCCTCCTGATCCTTCTTCTCCACCAAAACGTTGTGTCTTCTTTCTTCTCTTTTCAGCATGGAATAAACCTATTACTTGTTCCTTTGCAGCCTACGCATACTGACACAGCTACCCACCTGGACTCTTGCAGCTTAAGGTTTACAACAGGGCTCTTTTACAAACAATATGCAGTTTTTTTTTTTTCCTGGTTGTGTTGATTATTTTTAACATCTATAGACAGTGACAGTTTTAAAAGTGTTTTTGTTCATACCTTAAAACCAACTTGAATAATTTCAAATGAAATATTTAATTTATTTTCTTGTTTCTGTCTCTGAACACTTTTTTACTGGTAGCTCATCTCAAACGTATAAAAGACTGTTTTCATTACTTATAGAAAGAAATTGTAAGTAGTTAACTATCTTGGTTAAGTAAGTTACATCCATTAAGACTAGTCTAAACACCCTACTGCTTTGTAGTGTGGACATGTTCCTATTGCTATTTTGTAGTGGATGTGCACTCATATACCTTTTAGGTGTGCTCTGAATTTGACTCAGATGAAGGTGTGTTTTTCAGCAAAGAAAATACATTTGTGAGAAAAACCAATCTTCACATAATCCAGTAGGATTGGTTTGCGTGATGATAGTGTATGTTCCTTTATTTCAACCACACTTTGCACGTACGTGCCATCTTTCACCTGATACCCAGTTATTTTGCTTCCTTGGAATTTTCAGGTAATTGAGGAGATTGAGGAAATGATGCAGGAGTCTCCTGATCCTGAAGAAGATGAGACTCCCTCTCAGTCTGATCGTCTTTCCCTGCTTTCGCAAGAGATTCACACTCTGAAGAGATCTAGCACTAACAACAGCTACGAGGAACGTGAGTAACTAGGTGGTTTCACACAGAGGGTTTCCCCTTTTGTGGTTAATAAAAAAAGGCAACAAGACTCCTATTATGGAACAAGTAATAGGTTTATTCCATGCTGAAAAAAAGAAGAAAGAGAACACAACATTTCGGCCGTGGAGCCTTCTTCAGGTGCTCTCACACCTGAAGAAGGCTCCACGGCGGAAACGTTGTATTTTCTTTCTTCTTTTTTTCAGCATGGAATAAACCTATTACTTGTTCCTTTGCAGCCTACGCATGCTGACGCAGCTACCCACCTGAACTACAGACTCCTATTATAACTCTTAGGTCCTTAAGATGTAAGCATTATGATAATAAATAATGCAATGATTTAATGCTTAGCAGGAGATCTTAAGTAGACCTTTGTTTTTAAAAAACTCTGAGTTTAAATTGGTGTGCCTCCCGTAAACGTTCTTTTTTATTGAGAATTGATCACTATTTTTTTTAAACAGTAAACTAGAAAATAAATAGCTATGTGTCTTATACATCTCTCTAATTTGTCTAATACATCTCTTGAATGTAATTCTAAATACGTTTAGAATAACCAAATGCATTCAATTTTTTTGTAACTCTAGGCACTCTAGGCATAACTTTATATGTTTTCTCTAAAACATTGGGGGGCATTTAGTATTAGGTATAGTATAGTATTAGGACTTAAAAATGTTCAGCTATGTCATTCACCAAGACACGAATGCAGTATGAATATGGCCCAAAGCTTGCAGTAACTTTAAAGCATAAAGGAAAAAGTTGTAGAGGTAATACAAGCAGCAAAGATTACATCTCAGTCCAGAGATCTCAATACAGCTCCAGGAACAGTTTCTTACCGAAGCCTTAACATTAATTGTTTGGTTTGGTTTATTTCCCAAATTATTTCATGAACAGAGGCCTCTTAGCAACTTAGAATTCCTATCTAAAATGAGAAGATTACATGCAAAATTATAGCTTCAAAATAACGTTCCGGAAAAAATAAGTATCATTAAATTTTATCTGTTCACATCAAGTAGTTTCTAAAGAGAGCAAATGTGATCATTTTACTTATAAATATTAGTTTAAATGAAGTGCCAATGAAAGACACATTTTACAGTTAAAATCCAAATAATTTTCACTAGAAATTTGATAGTGCCGAGTTTTAAACTGCAGAAGAGTAACATTGATAGGTGGATCAAGAGTGGGTACAGAAGAAAGGAGCAACGGGTGATTAAGATTGAAAATAATTAAATAAAGTTAGTCAGTACTCCCTAGATAACTATTTATTAGATCAAGTTTTTTTTTGTTTCTAAGAACATCAGAACAGTGACAAAATAATTAATAACACTATACCAAGTTGCCCCTTCTTCCTCCAAAACTACATTAAATTGACCTGCATCAGCCTTTAATTTATTCTCCAATGTTTGTTCTAATTAATTATTTCAGAGAGAATAGCTACAAGATGACCCAGGAGTATTGTCTGTGGAAGGTACGAAAAGGTCTTTCCTGACTGCAGTCTCATTTTCCTCAGGGGTGAAGCGACTTTCGGTTGCAGAGCTGAATGAATTGCTGGAAGAAGTGGAGACAGCCATTAAAGACTATTCTGAGGAGCTGATCCAACAGCTGGCGTTGCGTGATGAGCTGGAGTTTGAGAAGGAGGTCAAGAACAGCTTCATCTCTGTGCTTATTGAAGTGCAGAACAAGCAGAAGGAGCACCGTGAGCTGCTCAAGAAGAAGAAGAAACTGAAGAGTACCACTTCCCAGAATGGCAAATCAGAACGGAGCCACATGCCTGGAACAGTGAGTCACTCCTCAGACAGTCTTTGCATTTTCTTTCTTATTTTTGTTAGTTCTGTTATCTCCCTTAATGCATAACAGTCACAGTTCACCTCCATATTAGGAATAAACTGCCAGAGGGAATCCAAATGATATACAGATTTAGGCTTAGAACTCTGCTGATTTTGTATCTTGGGACCCACTAATACATAGCTGAAGACAGGATACTCATGTTTAGATCCATTATATAATATCTCAGTATATTATAATAATCCTATGGATTTTGTTTGTTGTTTAACAACCTTCAAATGGATCAAAAAATATACTAATTTAATACTAATTTTTGTTACTATGCAGCAAGCTCAGGCAGCACTATGGTATGGTGGTATTGGTACCGTCAGCTCTAGGGACATAAGTTTGATTCCAGGCTGGGGCACCGTCTGACTGGAGTTGATGTATTCTCCCTGTGTTTTCCAGGTTTTTTTCTAGGTGATTTGGTTTTATCCTGTAATCCAAAGATCATCAGTACAGGTTAACTGGTGTCTGTGTACACCGTGTGTGTCCACACCCAGGTGATATAATTAATTAATTGATATAATTGCATAAGTCTAATAAATGTCTAATTTCCAGTGATTGCCATATTAGGCAATGCCCAAGACTCTCAGTGGTTGCTGAAAAATAGATGGCTACATATGGCAGAGCCTTCTTAGCCAGTCGCGTGGTGTCAAAAGACCTATGCACATAAACCCCATGAGCCGGGCCCAATGTCAGACCAACCCTGGTGAAACTGACACCTCTGATTTTGTTTCTAACCTACTGTCCTATCTTGTTGTTCTTTTTTCTTTTATCTTAATCGAGTTCCTTCAGCCTAAAGCATTAGCAGAAGTGACTCCATTGACTGAACTCCCATCTTTTCCATAGGTCCATAAGCATTTTAACCCTAATTTTAACCCTGAGTCGACGGACAAGCACTAACCTGTTATATGGTCCCCTCTTGGTGCTAACTCCAAAACTTAACCTAACAAAATACTTGATTTGGCCACTAGACTTAAGTTTAATGAGTTACACCCTAGACCAATCTTATCTCACTGAAAGACTAAACTCTAAACAAGATTAAGACTAATACAAATTTTTATTGAAAAACCTTATAAAAAAGAACCAGCCTTAGCAGGATTTATACAACTTTTTGTTTCTCTAATTATTCACAAGATACAATTTTAGAAATACCATAGAGATTACCCAGACCTTCTCCCTGATCTTGTTGTAACTTCGGTGTCCATAGCCCTGCCAGTAATCAATGTCAATGTGGAGATGATATAACTGTAGCAAAACACTGAGCACACTAAAGGAACAGACACTGCTACAGTCGTATTTGCTTAGTTCGGCCTTGTTCAATCTAAAGACACAAGAAGGATGCAAGGATGCAGTATGCAGATATTAAACAGTTCTGATATTTTATTATGGCTCCACATAACAAGAAGTGATTAAACATTTTAACATAAGATTTTGTTTTTTTTTTAATAAAAGGTAGTGATTCAGGCTTGTAGTTTGTAGAACTGTAAAATGTAGAATATTTCTTTCTACAGCCTGTTCTTAGTTTGTATATGTGACCCTCATCATTTCCCTCCATACTTTGCTGTTAGGAATAGAGGGCCCCAAGGACACCCTGGCAGATCCAGAGGTACCAGTCATGGGGTGATGTATATTTGAGAGCCTTGGAGATAATGAGCAAGGTTGTGGAAGCCTTCCTCTCAGCACAAAGCTCCAGTGAGCAGAACATCCCCCAGGGTCCTGCAGTACTGACTCATCTGGGAAGTGTTGGTTTACTGAGCAGCATCTCGCATCACTGCAGCTTTTGAGATCAAAAGCCAGCTCTGACATCCCATAATGTAATTAGCCTTGTTGCTGTCTTTTTTTACTTTTTACTTTTGTTCCTTAAATCCTTGCTGAGGATTAGTGTACTGGCAAGCTATTTTTAGAACTTGCTTCAGCTTTTTCTTGATAAAATGATTGTATTTAGGACTTCATCCTTAATTTTGCTTTTACGAAAAGCCAGAAAACAGTTTTTTTCCTATGTGATGCACAATAAGGCTTTAATAACGAGCTAGCCATCGTTACACAGTTTGCGATTGCAGTTAGTTTCCTAATCACAGAACTACTGGAGATTTTGGTTGTAGTGTTTTTTTAGAAAAATGTCTCTACAACATTTTCATTCAAAAGATTCCCTGAGGCAGTTTAAAAAATGTACCTGCTTGGCTAAGATATTTTCAAGATGTGATTCACCTTCTCAGAAAATATTTGACTTAAGAGTATCAACCCCTTTTTTTGTTTGAATATGAAACTTTTAAATGAATTGCACCATGATTCTAAAATCTTAAATGTTCTCATTATTATATGTAAATGACTTGGATCTGTTGAATTATCTATTATTTACCCAATTCTAATGAAATCAATGTATGTCATAAAAATTGGGGGAAAAAATGTAATTCACCTGACGAATTCCTGGTAAACTGCTTTTTTAGATGAGGCTGTAGAATTGTGAGCAACTAAAAAATTGTGATTACGAAATATTAGAAAGCTCTATGTTATGAGCCTTACTAAAGAGTTGCAAAGCACTATTTGTGGGGTCTTGCATGCTTTGTCTCTGAAGTGTAGGGTTTTCCCTAGTTTTGTGTATGCATGGGCTATGTCCTGCATGATTTATTGAGTGTGCATGACATGCATGTTAATCAGAAATATAACAATGATGACTTAACAACCAAATTCTGCTTAATAAGGGGGTTTTAGGTATTGGTTTGGGGTATTGGAGTCTTAGATATTTTTGGTCTTCAAGGGCCCATGTTGATAAAGGTTTCATTCCTATAACTTGGTCCCTGTGCGTACTGTCTAATCCTTTAAAAACTTCCTGCATTAAAGTTTATAAATACACGTTCTTTATGTAATTGTATACCATTGACTTGGGGAGAGTTTAACTTTATATGGGAGAGCTTTATTTATATGGGACTTCATTCTATTAAACTAATATGAAATTTAGTTTATATAGTTATAAATTTACAATTCAGAGTATATACAAAAAAAAATAATACACATTATGTAATACAGCCAGAGAAGACAACCAAAATACCCTGTTGGTTGTCTTCTCTGGCTGCAACTAATAAAAATTGCTTAACATTTTATTGGCTATTACTTGCAGGCTGTAGGAGGCGAAACAGAACAGAAACAGAATTGTATTTGATCAGCTTCTGTTTACACGTTTTAGGTACGTAAGAGAGGTACTGTATGTGAAATACAGTACCTTGAGCCAGGGCTTTCAGTAAACATTGGATCTGTCTTTAGTCTTTTTGAAGAAGAAAAAAAATCAAATTAACCAAATACATAAAAATCATGACCACCTTAACCAAATATAAGTGCATTGGTTGCTGAGCTAGATACTTCATAAATATGCCAGGATGCAAAAATGGAAAAAAAAATCCTATGGCCCTTGAAGACTGGAGTCTCAGACTATAGCTAGACTATAGAGGTGTCTGATGTTAGCTGGTATTGATGATGTTGCTACTCGCAACTGCTTTTCCAGGTTTGCGTCGGTCAGTCTGAAGCGCAGTCGATCAAACAGCCACTTGCTATCATTGAGTTCCCTGACAGGTTTTCCCTTCACCTCCATGAACTGCTTGACTTCATCCCGCAGTTCGTAAAACACAGTGTGTTAACACTTTCACAACGTGTACACTCCCAGCCTGCCTGGCACTGACTGCCCTTTGAGTCCCCGCAATACAGGCAGACGGGCTGCGGGCAGCCGGCGAGAAGCATGCGTGTCTGTTCCGTCATGTACTTGTATGTGTCCTGTCTATCCCGTAATGGACGTTCCTTGCTTGTCCCCCAAAATTAACGTTATTATTATGATTCACTTAATATAAATTTATGTTGCTATGAAAAAAGCTACTACATTTATTGAATTTGGCGATATGGCCAAAAACATTATCACGATAAAAATTTCATATCAGTTGATATCAATAATCACGATAAATGTCAAATCATTATTTCTTTCAAGTTTAAAGGCAGATTTTTTTCTCCTGAGTGAAAGTTGAAGAAACCAGACAGTTAATTGGTGAATTAAACAACTCTTTATTTTAAGAACACATCACTTGCCAAACAGCAGAAACATTAAATAAATCTGTTAGCTGCCCGGTCTGCAACACGCACGCGCACTCGCGCTGTATTTAGTGTGCATGCGCGTAGCATGCGTAAAGCATGAACATTTATCGAACTTTTGTTTAAATTATATAGAATTATATATAATTATATCGCGATAACTATCGTTATCGAATTATCGCCAGGCTCTACGCCTGCGGTTGCCTTGGCAGGGCCAGACCAAATGATTTCCCGCGGGCCAGACGTTCCACACCCCTGCTCTAAGGTCAGCATTATGGAGCCTCACTGTCCTGTCACTGATGAAGGCATTGTGTCTGTCGGCAGTTTCAGCAGCAGTATGGGTGGCAGGTCTGAAACGATCTCTCAGATGGACCAGTCTGATCTGTCGGTTCTGCTCTGGTGTTGTCACTCGAAGGCAACCGGATATGGACGGTCATCTGTTCTGCCGGTCTGCTGAAACCTTCTCTGCAGTCGGGACACTGTAGAGCGGCTTATTCCTGCAGCATGTCAATGGCCCTCTCCCTTGCTTCTGGTGACATTTGAGGCATTATGGAATGCACAGAAAACTGACTTAGTGTAGCCTTTTTCTTGCAGTGACCTAAGCTTTGAATTAAGGCCTTTTTAAAGGTGACGTGATCAGGCATTGTTCCACCTGTACCTCGTTGGGTAAAAGTGCATCTAATGAGCTTTCGTGTAATTGGCAAGTTGCAGTGCCTCACTGCACAAGCTGTATTGCTGGTCAGTGGGCTTAAAATAAATTGACAACTTTTTGTAAAGGTGCATAAGCTATATAAGTATAAGCTAAATAACTATAGTATTCTCATACCAGAAAATGTAGCATTTGTTTTTTCCATCAGTATATATTTGTCATCAAATGAAAGACTTGAAATTAAGTTTGATTTTTCAACATCTGCTCTAAGAGTCTGCATTGACATCCTTCACATCTGTTCTCTGTTCTGCTAGTTGTGAATCTGGAGCCTTTTTAAGAGAGGTCCGCCTTCTACATGACATGAACATTCCTAAATTATACTTTAAACATCACTGGGAAAAGCACAAATCTGGTATTAGATGGATTTATTTTTGTTGAATTAATTTTCTTATATTTTTTGGCAACACTGTAGTATGTTTTTATTTCAGAGGAAAGCAAAAGGCTAGTGTCTACATATGTTTTTTCTTAATTGAAAGTGAAAAGTTATTTCTTTCTTAATGATATTGCAAATTACCATTATCAGTAGTACAGAAAAACCTAAGGTGGAAAAAAATATTTTATTTATATTTCTAGCTGAGAAGGTTACCATACCAAAATCTGCTCTTTAGGTAAATCATACCTCAATGATCCAGAAACCAAGCATTTTTAAGGATTTGAGGGAACATAGTGAATCAGCATCTTCTTTAAGCCTTACTATATTTCTTTATTAAATAGTTTATCTGTGTTTTAAATCATTTGATTACAGGGAACATCAGTTTATTTAAAATCAAATTGTGTGTAATGCTTGTCTTTGTGGTATCATGGTAAAACAGGAGAAAGTTGAGGTGCTCTAGGATGCCTCATGAGTGCTTGGTGAAGGGCCTGCTGATGTCATAATATCATATGCTGCTTTGCTTAGTAGAATTTTTGTGCTTACAGTATGTGGTACTGCATGCAGTTATGATTTTGCATTTTCAATGTAATGTATAGCATGTTTTGTATATTCAAACCCCTTTCCACGTTTTCTTGTGTGTCTGTTTCTCGTAGTTGCTTTTTAAAATTTCATGTGTCTTTCTTCCTGTCTCTTCCCTCGTTTCTCTGTCCTCTCTTATCTTGCTTTCTACTGCTTCCAGCGCTTCAGCATGGAGGGAATTTCCACTGTCATTCAGAATGGCTTCCGCCAAACGTTTGGAAACTCAGGTGGAGAGAAACAGGTGCCTCTCTTTCCCTGTCACTATATATCTCCAGGGGTGGGAAACAGTTTCCCTTTACCTTCTGAGCTGTTCCACACTTCTCAATGGACATTTGACCTCCTTCAAACCCTGCTGCTGTTTAAGCTCCAAATGGCCCTTTTCTGTTCCAAGGTTTTGTGCTATTTTCAACAGCTCAGTTCCAGGTTCTCTAAGATAGTCTGGATGTTTGAATTGCAATGGACCGAAATATTTGTTGCAAAAGGGTGTTTTTTCACATTTTGTGTTATTTAGTAAGCCAAGTGAATAATAACTTTTATATTCAAACAGCAAAATGGAAACATATACTTATTTTACGATTTCAGTAGTGTGGTCTGTAACTGCTTTGTTGTTATCTTTGCCTATATTACTGTAGAGGGCCCCAGACTTTCTTTTTCATAGTTACAGATGCAGCCATTCAAAGTGTGGGGCACAGACACGTACCGCGGGTAATTGGCTACGTCCTCGCGCATTGTGAAGCACGATGACGCGCAATACCGCGGTACGTGATTGGTTGACCGACAGAGGCATTCGTGGTATATATGGCTGGTCTCGGTACTTTAAAGAAAAAATACACACCAGTATTCCATTTCTCCTTAAACATTTTAAGCATCGAAGTCTTTAACTAACATGTGAAATAGCGTGTAAAAAAGTGGTAGTTTTAAGTTTTCTGCTAATATAATATGGAATCGCGTATCTAAAGAAGTTAATAATGATATAATTATATTCATATACTGCAACACAGTAGTACACGCTGTACAATGTCTGTTGATTCTGTATGTGTAGGGCTGTTTCACCTCTCCTCTTGTGACCTTGTGGGTGGTACTGTGGTCTACTTTCCCAACTTCTGAACCACAGGTTGGGTGTTCAAATCCAGCCTGCACCACGACTTCTCTTTTAACAAACATTTCTTAAAATAAAATAGCAATATTATGGACAATTAATTGACTTTTTATATTTCTAAATATCACAACATGTTCAAATGTAAGTCATTTTTAATAACAATCAATAGTCACCTTCTTTCCTTCTGACAACAGTCCCTGCTTCTGCTTCCTGCTTCTATCGTGTGGGGAGGGGGGATCCCTTTAGATCTCCCTTCAGATTTAAAAGGTTATTAATCATGTGTTCGGTGTCGCATCTTTCCAGTGTAGCTGATTTTTTGCTGCCTGGGTAAACTATCACAAAGCTTTAGAGAACTTAACATTTCTATTATCAACAAATTGTAAATACGACGTTTACATTGGAATTATTAATTTTGCACTTGAGTGTATGGAGGATTGTCAGCTGTCACTGAGAGCAGACCCCCCTTAGGCTGCGCAAATGATCTTTTAAATTTTTATAGAGAAATGGAGGCTGTACAGTATGCATTACGATATAAACATTTATATTTTGTTTTAAATCACAAACGCGTGTTTAATTATATGTATTTTTTGATTCACAATCAGGCAAATGCAACATAAATTGTTATCTTTGTCTTCTAAGTATCTTAATAAACTTTCAGCAGAACTTTCTCCCCGTTTAGATTTATTTTTCTTGGGATTTTGGGATCAAAGGTGGAAAGATTAGATTGTAATCGTTTTTATTTTTTAAATACATTTTAGAAAAGTGTAATCTATACTAAAAAGCTGTATTTATTTAATACCACTCGATACGTATATTAATGGAGTTAAGTTGATACTGTTTAAACTTTTAATTATTTTAAATTGTATTACAGCATTGTACACATGCTTAAAAGAGAAGAGAGAAAACGCAAGCCGTCTTCAGGTGTGAGGGTTCCTGCTCAGAATGAAACGCTAAAATGTAATGTAGGCTCTGAATGGGTTCAATTATGATTTGGGCTTGATTAAGGTCGCTGCCTTTCATCTAAACTCATGCTTGAATCCTTCTAAACTAAAAATTAGACACAAGAAGAGAAGAGGCTCTGGTGAAATTTCTCTTTAATTTCTCTTTTTTTCTTGGAAAAACATCTTACCCACTGCAATCCGGGCAAAGAAGGATTAAAAAAAGTGAGACAGGCGGGGGGGGGGAGTGAGTTCTAAATAAAGAGGTGCTTTGTGTATATTCTAATGCCAGTGGGGGCAGGGTGTGTGGGAACAGGTTTGGTTGAAATTGCATTGGAGATCCATGTTCTTCACACCTGAAACATTTTCTCTGAAAACATTTTCTTCCCAGTTTGGCCGATCTTCTTACAGCATGTTACAGTTTACTAGTATTAACCATATTAGTTCTAAGTGCTTAATGCCATTTTTTGACCACACACGAATATTCTTATGTCCATATCTTCTCAAGGGAATCAGTGCGAATTGTAATACTAATTAAACGACCGCGGGCACTTTCCACCCCCTCTGACGGCAGGAACATTCCTACAGTATTCTTAGCTCAGCAGCTCATTACAATATAGGGTGTTCAAAACCCTTTTTTTTACACAATGACACAGCGTCGCGTTGTGAATCTGTTTTTCCGTGTTTACAAAGAAAGTGGAATACAGTGATACTACCTGCTATATAGATACATATGTTTAGATATTTAGACCCGGCGCGGCACCGAGAGAGGGAGGAGGCACGGAGCTCAGCAGTACAGAACGAACGTTCTGCTGCCTGGACTGCTTAATGGCACCAATCGCGTCTGCATTTATCTCTTTTTACTTTTAAGTCCCTTAATTATCATTAAGCACAGCTTTCTCACCACTTAGGCTACTTTTTGATACTATCCTTAGACAAAGCAGAAACTTGTTGTACTTTCTAATGACATTATAAGTGGAAAGATTACAGATTTTAATCGTCTTTAATTTTGTTACGTTATACATTTTAGAAACGTTTCATGTATACAAACACCACAAAACTATTCTCGATTGTATTTCTGATGTTATGTTACACTTAGTTCACTGTTTTAAATACATATAATTAAGAAAGTAAGGTGTAAGCATAAACTATTAGTAATCAATAATATTAAATTTAGCACTGTAAAAAGTTGTTGCACTTTCCCCCGCATCTTGTAAAAATATATTTTCATTGTTCAAATATTCATTAAATCTGACTATCATATAATAAGTTAAATACAAAACTAAAGAAAAAATAGGGTAAAATATAATTCAATATATTTTGCTAACAATGTTAACTGTTTATAAATAATAAAATGTATTAACTAAGGAGTATGTTGTAACAGAAAGAATAAGGTTCTGTATCCCCAGATGAAGTTAAACAGATAAGTATTGTTCCATGTGGCGGTGCAAACTTTTAGGTTATATAGTCCTTCCTTGCTGCTTCGGACGTCATTTGGTGTTATGGTAAAGAGGTGGTAAGGGGGGGTCATGGTATTTGGCCAGTTAAGAGACCCTGGCCAAATGGTCAGTTTAAGATTACGCCCCCAGGGGGTTCCTAGCTCACATCTGGAATCCTTATCAGTTAACCCCCTTTCCTGCCATAAACCCCTGTTGCTTAGAAGTCTAATTTTCAGGCAGAACTGACTTAAGTTAACCCTTTTTACATCTTGTGTCTTACTTCATTCCCCCTTATAAAATATGGCATACATCAGAACTGCCTATTTTTTACACATACAATGTCAGGGCAGATCTTTCCTTTTTAGATGTACAGGCATGCATTACTGTGCCGTTGTGCGTTCCACAGTTACAAGATGTGATTGATGTTTTTGTACAAGTGATAGTTACAATTATACATATATAACAATCCTAATCCTACAAATACATAAAGTCCTATCCCAGGACCCAAACGCAGACCTCAGCCATGTGGAGATCTATCGTCAGGATCTTGGAATAGCAATATTGACCCAACTCCAATTATCATTTTTTGGCTGATAGATATGCCAACACCCGGAATGTATTGTTACCATATCCCAATTAATGCTCCTCAGGCCTAACAAGCACACTGTTGGTCTTAGGAAGCATCAGACACAGAAACGGTAACAACATCCTTCTTTCTGTTCACTCAGTCTCTGGTGCCGTGGGTCGGTGAAAGTGCGATGTGCTGATCTCATCCTGTCTCTCAGATTGCACAGTCAGTAGTTAGTGGCACTTGATATGGTCCCTCCCAGCAGGATTGCAACGTCTGGCAGGGTATCTCTTCTTCACCTACACCCACTCGCCAGGTATCCGGTCGTGTCTCCCCTCTACTGGAGGTCCCCAATCGTCCAGCACCTGTTCACGAGCCCTGTGCACCGCTTCAGTTAACTGACCTACAATACTTTAATAGAGAGTTAGTAAATTCAACAGTCCGTTAGCCAAACTTGGCCTCCAGGGAGTTTCTTTGGCTGCCAGTGATGATCTCAAATGGGCTCAGTCTCACAGTTCACGATTGCTCCAGCCCGCAAACTGCACAGGACCGCAGGCAGAGCATCTACCCACGGTGTTCCTTCGGTTCATATTTCCTTAGTTGGTCTTTCAGACTGTGGGTGATGGGGCAATGTGACTTCCAACTTACCCCTAGTGATGTGATTACAGCCTGGCACACCTTCCCAGTGTAGTATGCCCCTAGATCAGTATCCAAGGGGCAGGGCAGTCCGTACCATGGGATCATCTTTGTCATACACTTGGGTATG